TGGGTAAAAAGAAGTGTCAACCCGTACGAATATCAGCTACAAACATGCTCTGATGGGCAAAGTTAAGTGGCAAACCGTCATACCTACTTAAATTTGTGCTGGAATTATTGTTTGGCAGCAGAAATGTGCATAAATTACATACAGTAGGACATTTTGCCAAAGTAGGGCAGTTTGTATGGCAGCGTAAAATTATCCTACTGGTAGGACGGTTTGCCAAAGTAGGATGGTTTGTCAGAACACCGGCAAGTCCGCTATTTTTTTTAATGGAAACTGGCATTTCTTCTATGTTTACGTCAAGTTACAGAGTCTGGATTTAGCGGAAACGACGCTGAATAGCGCGTTTAACCCTTTTGCTTTGTGGTAAATGTTAGCCGCGCGCTAGCCGCCCATTTCTAGTCTTTTCAGTGGCTACACCTGCTTTCCGTGGCTCGTTACAAACGATCTGAGATATATGAAGTAGTAAGCGTATTTAATGCCATACTAGGCAGATTTACCGCACTGCCATTTACTACACATTTACCCGTGTTTGGCTATTGTCAGTACATCTCGCTCGTTGTAAACTTCCTTTAAACATGTATGATTCCAGCCTACCGGATGGGCACTTTTGACTTTTTGTAGTTCAGTTCACTGATTGACTCTCCTGCAGTGCTGTTTTCCTGTATTCATCACCTTTAATAAAGTGTCCTGTGTTACAGTAACAGTGAGCTGTGGATTTACTTAATGAATGCCTAAGTTGGGCTTTAATCTGCCTTAGACATGTGTTTTGTATTTTTTTATTATTAAGTTATTCTCTGCCATAGGTCTAGAAACACATAACAGACCTGAACCAAAGAAGCAATGTGTACATGCAGGCAAAGACAAGTTTTGGAAGTATTTGTACAACACATGCCTCCGCAACAACTTCAGCGTTTCCTGGAATTGATTAGGAAACATTAACAGAGCTATTATCTGTTATGGGAGTCAAATTTCCCCAGATAGTTTTGGTTGACTGTGAAGGCCATGGTGTATGATCACGCCATTTTCATAATCAACTATTCAGTCTATTTGTCACAGGACAAACATAATCTCTCATAGCAAGTTTGTAATGATTTTACAACTCTTTTACCTTTGGCAAGTGAACTCTAACATGTCTGTCTGTAAATGACAGTGTCATGAATAATCCTTCAGCTTTTACCAGTACAAAAGTAAAACAGTTACATTGTCTCATCAGGAGAACCTAAAAGACTCCTCTTATGGCTAGTCTTTGCACATGATAATCACAGAAGAAAAGAAAGGAATTGATTTTCAATTGCGCTTAATTTCAGGAGACTTTCCAACCTGTTGGTTCAAAAGAGCCAAAAGAAAATCTTCATCGATGTTGGAGTAAAAACTAGATGCTTTTATTGGAATATACACTGATAATGCTTACTGTCCTGTCATTGTAAACCAGTCAGAATACATAAATAACTCATTGTGATCGTGCTGAAGACCACAGACAGCAGTCCAGGCGTCAGGTGGGATAAAGGAGCTGGAAACATCACCTGACAAAGAAAAATCAGACAACAAACTGAGTGAATAAAAGAAGGCTTCTTCGTTGCACATTTTTCACCAATCACAAGCCTGTTCTTTCACTCTAGACTTTCGACCAATCACCGATCAGGATGAATTGCACTGCTGTACTGTGCATCCCCGTCCGCACAAGAGGGCGACAAAGGAGTGTTTGCACACCGTAGGAGGAGGAGAAGAAGAAGAAGTAGCGTTCAGCATGGCCGCAGGTTGGGAGGCAAAGCTGCAGCTGGTCCAGAGACACGTCCGCGCTTTCCCAGACTTTCCCAAGAAAGGGATCCTGTTCAGGTAAGACACTGCGTTCTTGTTTGAACGGCCCAGCAAACGTAAGGTCTCTTCGCTGGTCTACCGCGAATAGAAACGGGTCTCTGAGAGCTGTAACCAGGTGCAAGGGCACGTGTCAGACCCCTGCTACCAGGAAGCACACTTTGCCCCCACAGTGAGCACTTAGGAACAGTGTGTGTGTGTGTGTGTGTGTGTGCGCGCGCGTGCGCGCGCAGTGCAGTGGGAGGGCGGGGCTCTTCAAGTTAAAGCGTGATGTCCGCGTTAAACGGCTCATGTAGTCTGTCATCGGTACCAGCTCAGTCTGGTTTCGACGAAAGTAAAGCCTCCCGAAAGCTCATCTATGACCTACGATTGTTTCCACAGCCTGAGCTTCAGACAGTGAACGGCCTCCGTGATACCCGCTGAGCATGGGTCAATATCAGTGTGTATTTCAAAATAAAATCCCTTTGCAATCTTGCTGTCAGGATGCCGCAATGGCTCAAAGCACTGAAAGCCTTCACTGTAGTCAGAGAACTGCTCAGAGGTTAGCTTCAGAGGCCTTTGAACATGACGATGAGCTGTTTAATAAGGAATACATCACGCAAATGAATATGAAACAACGTTTAACCTTCAGGCTGTTAGTAGTTTTTGACGGTGGCAATATTTTCTTGCAACACTTTGATGACTGTGCATGAAAACTGCCACTCAGCTCTGAATGTTGCAGACACAGAAACAGTTTATCTGTTACAGTAATATAATCGGGTGTCAGCCTTCCAGCAGTGAAAATGCATACAGTGTTTTCTAATAGTACTCCCTAGAGGTAGCATGTAAAAAGTAGTCCGCCCAACACAGAGCCCAGTGACACTACAACATCCAGCTACAGGCTGGTTCAGTTCAAATAACATGCAGTATTTGTTCAGTTAGTACTGTGCATTATAACTATGCCACCTACAAGTCAAAGGCTGGGTTTTGTCACTCCAATGTCAAATATAGATCAGAAATCAACACTTTGCATCTCTAGGAAATGAAATCTCTCTGTGGAAATGTATGTTATAATTCTGATGGGTATCCAAAAGGACTGGTTACTATTTAAGCCTGACTCTTTACCTGGAGGTCCAATCCCCCCAGTAAGTAGACGAACCACTATTCCTGCTGAGCCACAGCTACTCCCAGCATCAGCTGATCATAGGAATTTGCTGATATATCAGTATTGGGATTTATAACAGCTGATAAATGGAGACACAGGAGAAAACCCTTCAGCATGGTTTCAGGGTGTTCCTCCTGTGCTCATGTTGCATTGTTTGTCTATCAGAGGGTGGCTTCGCTCAGAAAAAAATCAGCAGTTATATCTGACTTTTAAGCCACCAAACAATAGCATGAGTCTTAAAAGTCCTCTATCTGCCAGGCTGTAAATGCTGCAAACTGTTGTGTCTGAATCTTGCAGAGATATTTGTCCCATCCTCAAGGATGCAGCTGCCCTTAAAGCAGTAATTGACCTGTTTGAAGAACATGTGAGGAACAATCTCCAGCACGTGGATCTGATTGTAGGTAAGAAAAACAAAAGCAGAGCTCTGAAACTGCTGTGCTCCACCTTTTAAAGGTATCTTTAACACCTTAAACATCCTCTCAGCCAGCTGTACCTCATGCTTGGTGTTCGGAAAGTCCACTTTATTTGTGCAGCTGTGTGAGATATTGTGTGTTAACTCCTGTGAGTATAGTGGTAAAGCATGTACACTCCATCAGATACTTCTGTTCAATATTTTTCCATCACTTGTTCTTAGTGTAAGCTGTCTTACAACGTCAAACATGAGGCTGCCCTCGACCCAGCTCCTCAGCAACCTCCAACAGCTGATCAAAATGAAAGAGTTGATACTGGCAGGAAGCCGGCCTGTACCTGCTTGCTTCCTTAGTTTATTTATGTTCTTAAGCCAGTCAGGTCCGTGTAACAGTCAACAGCACACGGTGAATAAATGAAAGTGGCTCTCTTTTTATCTGGTTAAGTTACCATGGTAACTCATGCTGAAGTTGGCTGTGTTCAGTTTAGGTTTAAAATTGCCTGGAAAGACAATATTTACATTGACTCTTTATTGTGCAACATGTGTGAGTTAAGCAGTTCTGTAATTAAACCATCACAAACTGTTGCATTATCACAGGATTATTTGTGATGTAGAAAATGTTGTGTTTGATCCTTAAGCTGCTGCCGAGTCTCTTTTAGTCTGTTCGAAGTGCAGCTGCTAGAGTACAAGAATATCTGTTACAAACTGAACTCCTTTATCAGGCTGTGGGACCGTGAGCTTTACTGCTTCCATGCATCCAGTTTAAATGTGCAGCCGTCACTTTAGTAGCAAACAGCAACCCTGAGCACGCTCAGACACACAATCACTCACAGAGGATTAAATAATCTTATCTGCAACAGTGTTGCAGTTTACTGCTGTTTCTATAGAATTCTAATCATTCAGTCACAGTCATCATCTGATAACGTCTCTGGTTTGGTTCGGGCAGGTTTGATGTTATTGTGTCCTTTTAATGTAAATGTTGCTCCTCCCACCTCATTATTGCTGTTTGTGTTTGGCAGGTTTAGATGCTCGTGGTTTCCTGTTTGGGCCTCTGCTCGCCCAGAGGCTAGGTGTTGGCTTCGTCCTGGTCAGAAAGAAAGGCAAACTGCCCGGAGCCACTGTTTCTGTCTCTTATGATTTGGAGTATGGCAAGGTAAAGAACACAAGGACCCACTCTGAAAGGTTTGTTTGTTTGGAGGGCGGGCAGGATGAGGTACTAAGGACAATCCTCATAAAAGTGGAGGAAATATGTATTTTTGGACATTTCACTGCTCGACTTTTTCATCCCCACTCCTCTTTTCCATGGGGCAGTTGAACGCATCCCTTCCACAAGCCGTATACAGAGACACTTATGGAAATGTAGACACTATGATCCTATTCTGCAGACAAGGCAGCAATATCTTAGACACACCTTCAGCCTTACTGGCCTGCTGTAAGCGCTGCATCCAATAGGAAGGATCCAGCACCACAAACCCAGGATGGGAGGGTTTGTGGTGTTTGTTACATAACAAACAAACAGTATACTAAGACAATGTCAGCTTGTTTTCACCTGTTGAAGTGGAAAATAAGATCCAGTTGAAGTGCATCCTTTAGGTCCTGTAGTGCTAATCACAAATATGTGCACTGCAGCTTGCTGTCATATTCGTGTTTTTGTTTCAGTGACGTGTCTGCACAGCAGCTCAGAGATTCACGTAGAGACAGAAAACCCACTGCTAGCTATCATGATGCAGAAATGAGTCGAGGTTTACAAGAAACTCAGTTTCTCCTTTTACTGTTACTTGAGATAAGAAGTTTAGTCTCTGTTGCATCATTGAGCTTGACCACATTCAGATCTCATTAAAAATGGTATTTACTCTGTTCCTCCAGGCAGAAGCAGAGATCCAGGAGGATGCTGTGGCGCCAGGACAAAGGGTCCTGCTCGTCGATGACCTCCTGGCTACTGGAGGTGAGAAATTGCCCAGTTTAGATGTGATTCAGTCCGACTGAGACATGAATACAAGTTATGTTGCTGAATATTTCCCCTTACTGGCACTTCTGCTTTTACTTCAACATTAGATAATCCGTGTAACATTATGGATGCCCGCGGGGGGGATTCAGCGTTCACAGAAACAACCTTCATGACAGACGGCAGCTCTGATGCGTAGCGGTCGTTTCTTATGGTTTATGAAAGAAGCTGCACAGCTCGCTCGCGGCTGACACACAGCATTAATATTACTAGAATCTTTTTTCCCCCCAGTCTCATGTTGTGACTCTGGTTTGACTCTTTTAATTAATGGCAGCTTTCCTGTCTTGAAATGGAAAAGTTGGACTAGAACAGCATCGTCCTGTCTGGGCAGTGATGCGCACTACTCGTCTTCACTTTTCATACTTTGTTTAATCTGTGATGATTTTCCTTCACTCTTCTCCTGGTGAACTCGGCTGTTGCCTCCTCCCCTGTTTTGGCCCATAGAGTCGTGCACGTCCAGCAAGGGGCAGTTACATTTTGGAGGTCTGTCTGTGAAACCCCTCTGAGACGCATAACGTGAACGGGACCATAAGTTAGGCTAAAGTCAACCCAGGCTTTCCAAGCTCAGCTTGAAGCGAATGTTGTTGTGCGCGAGACACCTTTAAGCTTTCTTTCAGCTGCAGCAGCAGGGCTGTGTAATTCAAACACAGGCTTACTCTGCATGAAAGTTTCATACATCGGTCCAGAAATACTAACAGTTGCTGTTTTGGGTCATATTGATCCATTAAAAATGTTTTTTTTATTGATCCATATCACAGAACGCCGAGGTAATGAGGTCTGAGAGCTCTCCCTGTTTTCTGGAAGACTGAAAGAAAAGTTACCTGACAAGCCCAAATCCTGCTTTGCACTGTCGTCTTGGGTCCCCCTACTTCAATAAAAACTCTGTGTAGAGAGAAACAAAGCGGATTGGGCTGTTAGGAGTATCGGTGGGATGCATGACTTTCTTTGGACTGATTTCTCTTAGGAAGTCTGCCTTTAAGACTTTGACATGTGTGTATTGCAGGGACGCTGCATGCTGCCGCCGAGCTGATGAGGAAACAGCAGGCTGAGGTTCTGGGCTGCATGGTGGTCATCGAGCTCAAAGAGCTAAACGGCATCGACAAACTCAAACCACACAGAGTCTTCTCCCTGCTTCAGTACTGAGGACACTCGACCCAGACAAGAAATCTCTTAATTTTACAGTAATTTTGTTTACAGGGTGTAGCTGCGCCCCGTTATTTTAATGGGATGTTACTGGAAGTACAGTACGTCCAGTGTCTGAGCAGCATCCAAGTTTACTTTCCCTCGGCTCAGAAGGCAGGGTGAGTTTGACCCTGAGATCAGGGAAGTCTGGGTTCATGTTCAGTCGTGACGACTCTGCCACTGGAAGGCAGCTGCTAGTCACGAAATAACAGGGAGTGCAGACGAGACTGAAATGACTAAGAATACAAAAGATGCAGCACATGAACACGCAGCAGCCTCCATCAATGTAATGACTGAAAAAAGAAACGTTCCACTGGAAATGACCAAAACCAGCTTTACTGGGTGTAAGTTTGCAATAAAGTGTACAACACATCTGTGTCAGTCCAATCATGTAACATCTAAAAACAAACACTGATGACTAAATGATCATCACAGTCTATGCTGGAACATTTAAACCCGTGAGACAAGCTTAATACTGGTTTAGAATCAAGTGTGCAGCTTAAATTGTCTTTGTGTGCAAGAGTCTTCCAGCTGCAGCCAGCTGTGCTTTGCTTGAGGGTGAGTGTAGTTGTAGAGCACAGCAGCTGTCATGAAGCAGGTCTGCTTACACATCAAACCAGAACGATCTGAACACGAGCTGAAACTCCGGTTTGGTCACAGCAAAGTCAATCATTACCTTTACTGATGAATTACATCAAACACCCACAGGACCCTGTAGCTGCTGAGCTTTTTAAGATCCCCTCATGACCAAGCCACCATTTGTGACAGCACACAAAGCTGGGTGCAGCTCTTCACTGTGTTTCTTGAACATTATCAAACAGTGACTCTGAATCTAAAATACAAAATGAGTTTACTGCATAGAAAAGTGATCCTAATAACAAAGTCAGTACATCCGTGTTACACTTTGGATAGAAGGAAAAAACAAAACTGGATCAATGTTTCCAACAACTCAGCACAAGCACGTCAGGAGGACTCCTTCAACTCCATCCATGTATTATCCAAACCAGACGAACGTGCCAAAACCTGCGGACAACCACTGAAACGTGCTAAAAATACTGCGAGGCGGTCACGTTAAAGGCCACCGGGCCTCAGCTCAGTCTCCTCCTCTCGGAGTCTGCTGTTCACCGTGTCCGTCACAGTGCTGAGCTCCATGTTCTTATTCAGCTTCAGGTACAAGTCCTTCCTCACTGTGTGAAGAGTCAGCCAATCACCAGCCACTTCTGCCAGCAGATGGATGTGTTTCTCCATTTCACCTGTTGATTACAAAGGATCAGCCGGTCAGCTTCTACCTAGTGAATACGGCTCTACCTGGTTCAGTTTTCTGCTACATTTCTAACAGTTACAAACAGAAACCCTGTGTGGAGGGAGATCTCAGCACAAGCACCACATTGTTCTTGTTTCGTGAACCAACCTGTGCTCAGAGCAGATCTGTAGCTTGCCACCATCCGGTTACACGCCACCTCCATCGTTAAAGCCGGTTTCTTCTCTGCAACAAACACACTGCGGAGAATCCGTGCCAGCTCCCCAAGTCGTGACATCATTAACAGGCGCTCCTCCTGCTTGCTGTTACGAGTCATGACTGCCTGGAGCTTCTGTGCCTCCTTTGCCCGAATCTGAGGAGAAAGCAAAGTAAACTATAAAGATGTGTTTTTAGCAGCTGTTAGAGACAAAAATCACATCTTAAAGAAGCTCCAACAGCGCTGTGGTCGACCCCCCTGAAGAACTGTGTGCCCGGTCTACCTACCCGGTCCAGCAGAGACTGGGACACCCCTTTCAGGGCATTTGGGACCGCAGGGACAGCTGATGTTTGGGGGACTGTGGGGTTCTCCTGGGATGTTGGCTCTTTGTGAGCAGCTTTGTCTTCTGTCTTCAGAGCCAGCCCAATCAGAGCCTTCTCCATCTGAACACACACAAAAAGCCAACACATTTAGCGTTACAGTAATTATACTAATATAAAGTTCCGTTAAAGAGCATCATGACAACCCCCGGCAGCCTACACCTATTGCAGCATAACTAAGGGAGGATTCAGGGTCACCGGTCCAGCCCTAACTTCAGCAAAAAGGAAAGTTCGAATCTTGAAAGTAGAGATAGTGTCTGTCTCCTGGATCCAAACTGGAAGCTGGTTCCACAGAAGAGGGGCCTGAAAACTGAAGGCTCTGCCTCCCATTCTACTTTTAAATACTCTAGGAACAACAAGTAGGCCTTGTATATTTGTGCCCAGTCATATCTTAATGATGTCAGTCTGCCCCAGGGCAGCTGTGGCTACAACTGTAGCTGCCTCCACCAGTGTGTGAATGAATAGTGGAATTGTACAGCGCTTTATAAAATGCAATCATTATTGTAGTACCATATCACCCTGTTAGAGCACTTCGCTCTCGCTCTGCAGGATTTGATTTTGGATTTCCAAATATCCAACTACGCTCTCTCTCTCTAGTCCCCGTCACCCAAAGAAAGCAGTCCTACATGTTGGATGGAGCACACGTGCTGGTCAAAACGAATCAGCCTCTTAACAGTAAGACGTTCTTGTGACTACACACACTGTTACTAAGTAGTGCTCACCAGTTTCCTGGAACTGAACATACAACTGAGAAAAATGCTGAATTAGGAGCTGCATCGCTCCAAAGGGATCGATGGCGGTAAGCTGTCAGTCAGCATGTTCACGCAGACGGCTTTGATTAAACTTGTTCCTTCTGTCCTTCACCCTCATGAACAGTAGGAGGTGATGCGAGTTTACAAGTAACAACACAAAACACGCGACGCTGGTCTGGTGGCAGACTCAGGAGGGGCTACGTGATTAACTGAGAGGGGAACGTGATACAGGGTGTGGGTGTGACACAGCTGTTCAATCGTGATTGAGGTCAAGTGTTGAACTGACAGCCCTTCACTGGAGTGATTACTGCCCATGTGACCTTCAATCTTTTGAGACGGCGCCACAAATGTGTGTAAACAACACCTGAAATTCAGAGTGCTAACACCTAACAGATATTAACCTCAGACTACAGTAAGCTCATCGTTTACGCAGAAGCGTGAGAGCGGCGACACTGCTGCAGCACCTTAGGTGTGATGAGTGAGCGGGCCTTGTCGAGCACCTCCTGAGCTGTGGCCAGTTTCTCCGGGCGAGGAGTCTGAGGCAGTGCGCTCGTATGGACGGCTGGCACAGAGTCCACATTAAAGCGAGGATGCCAGCGGGTCAGTTTGTCTTCCGGAACCAACACTGGGGGATCCAACGAGGACAGGAAAACCTGCAGGGAAAAAGGAGATTTAGGCAAAAGTCTGAGACGACAACAAAAAAGTAACTGCTGTGTGACTTATTAAAAAATGAGTGAACCCAAACTAGAGCAGCTGACCTTGTGGTGCTGTTTGACAATGGAAAGCAGGCTGTTATGGAACACGCGTCTTCTCTCCAGGAGACGCGAGGCTGACAGCACAGGTCGAGCCTCGCCATTTTCTGAGGAGAACAACCCCAAACACCCAAATCAAAGCCATGTACTGAGGGACAGTTTACAAATATGGTATTTGGAGAAAAGGGGTTGGCTGAGCTGAAGGTGATGTGCGCTCTAACCGGAGACGATGATGGGGTCCACGGTCAGCTGGTAGCTTCCCTTCTTAATGCTGCTGTTGAAAGCTTGGATGTGTTTCTCCTGCCGGAACGTGTAGGCCTCAGGAAACACCGTCTTTATCTGACCCACGTGGCTCTCTTCAAAGCGCCTCAAAGAGGAAAGAAGTCCGTTATTATCTTTAGCAGCGAGCCACAGGTCAGGGAGCCTTAGCTTAAAAACACACGAAGCTGCTGACAGCTGGAACCTTTCTAGCACAAATAACAGGACTGCTGACACATTCCACTTTCCCACACATTTTCAGCTTTTGTCTCACGAACTCATCCGACTAACTGAACACTTACTTGTGCATCATGTCCTGAACTCCCCGTTTGATCTTGGTGAAGGTCGCGGTCTCGCAGCGGTTGTACAACATGGCAACCACAGTGTCCATGCTTCTGAACATTTCAGCCAGCACCTTGTAATGGTAGGGGAGCGAGAGGCCTGGGGGGGCATCTTGAGCAAGAGTGTGGTACCGCTGATACGCTGGCTGCTCGGTGCTGGACACACAAGGGAGGACATTCACTTTAACATGGACTAAACAAAAGCTCATCTTTGGGGAAATGCAGCTTACTCTCACTTTGCTCTGTGCACATGTGCAAGCACTCACCTGTCCCGAGCACGGGTCTCAGTCAGCTCATGCTCCGCTGCTGCTTTTGCTTCCTTCCTCTTCTGAGCTTTAGCTGCAAGCTCTTTGGCCCGAGCTACAGAGAGCTTCAGGGTCTTAGCTTCAGCAGAGGCTGAAATGATGGTTTCAGGAACAGCAGAGGAGCTACTGTCAGGCACTAAAGATGGAGAGGGTGTAGCTGAGGACGCAGTGGCAGGGATCTCATCTACATGCTTCTTAATCCTCAGAAGGCGTGACTTGAGAGCAGCGATGTCCTCTTTACCCAGGACCTGCCAGAAATGGAAAAAGGTGCTCTCAGCTAGGGCTGCTCAATTAATCGAATTTTAACCACGATCTGGGCTTTCAGTGAAAATAATGGTGATTATCATTTTTGCCATAATCGAGCAGCCCTACTCTCAGCTGTGACCAAAACACACCAGAGGTCATGTGTGCAGCTCTGCCCCCCACATGCTGAGTGTTTCTCTCTCACACACAGCAACCTTTGTTAAAGAGAGGCGTGTCTCAGATATGATCAGGCTGCTCTCATTGTTCCAGTCTGAACACCGATCGACTTATTCAAACTGCTGAGACTGAACCCTCTCAGGAATGATATTAAATCACAAGTTCAGTCTCTGAGAAACGGCATAGAAACATCTCATTTATTCAGCTGAGAAACCTCGTGAGATTCAGAATGCCGATTTAAAGCCAGATCAGTCCAGAGGAGCAAATATCCAGACACTACAAAGATCTGTGAGCATGACGAAGAGTACACAAAGCCTGCAACTACAGAGTGAAGGCAGGACAAAGCCTGTGGGTCTGTGTGTACATGCACACGTCTGTTACCTGTGCCGTGTCTGCGGGTACCTCCAGTTTCTTCCTGGCAGACCGCCTCGCCGGCCTCTCTGCTCCTGCAGCGGCTGCCGGTGCTCCGAGATCCGCCTGCCGCCTCTTCTTGGCGGTGCTGTGCTCGACGGCTGCGGCGGACACGGTCGCTCCGAGGTCAGCCGAGCCCCGCTTGGGGGTGCGGGGGCTGGAGAGGGGTTGCTCCGCGCCATGGTTCAGCCCTGCGGCCTCGTCGATTACACGGAGAAACTCTTCATGGACTGTCGACGAACACGAGAAGGCGCTGCGTGGCTCTGCCGGCTTCGTTGGGCCGCCAGTGGCTTTCT